CTTCTGGGGTCTTTCTCTTTGCCTTGCAAATGACTGCCTTCTTCCTATGTATTCACACAGTTTCTTTCCTCTTTACAGGCACACGTCAGTATCCTAGTCTGCTCTCACAAGGATACCAGCCATATTGGATTCGGGACCACCATGTGACCTTATTTTACCATAGGTCTTTTTTTTTTTTTTTTTAATACAGAGTCATGCTAATGTTGCTCAAGCTGGCCTTGAACCCACAATCCTCTTCTCTTGGCCTCCCATGTGATATGTACCACCACACCCTGCTTCCATCTTTCCTCCTGAAGGGCCATGTCTCCACATAGCATCACCGTCTGAGGTGCTGAGGTTAGGATTTTAATATATGTATTTAGGGGAACACAATTCAACCTCTAACAGCTGCTTTAAACAAGACAGTTTAAGTCTTGGTGAATGAGAGTTTCCTCTTCTTTAAAATAAGGTTTCTACTTGCAGGGGCAAATACTGATGGTTGCTCAAACTTTTGTTTTCCCTTACTAACAAAATCTCATACTTTGGGATGTCAGTGTGTCCTGCTTTCTCTCTGTCTTGCACCATGACCTACTTCTGGCCAATTAAATGTAAGTGGAACTTCAGGTAATAGATGTTGGAATGGCTCTTTAAATGTTATAGATTTATTTGGTCTATATGTTTTGTACTTTGTCTTTTCCTTTGTCTTCCTATCTGGATGTGATGAAATATTGTTGGATACTAATGAATTGTGCCTCTTTCCATATTTCATTTATTAATCAAACACATTACCTTTGTGCCTTGTGCCTGTTTGTACCCTTTCCTATTTTTCTACTAATCTTTGCTTTTGATGCATTTCCTCCAAATGCTTAGTTCATTAGTTTGTTTATAATGCTTTTTTCCTATAGAAGTTTTAAACTTTAGTGCAATGAATTTAATTAATATTTTGTTGTAAAACTTTTGTGTTTTGTTTTTAGAAAAGTTACTTTTTTCAAGGCTATAAACATATAGCTTTCAGGATTTTTCTTCTAGTATGACCAAATTTTTATTTTGTATTTATAGATTTAATTCATTTGACAGATATTTTGGTAATTTGAAAAACAAAAATGTTCTAAGCTTTTCTAAATGAACAACTGTTCCAAAATGTTTCAAAACAATTTTGAAAAGAATGATTTTTCCCTATAACGTTGTTGTCTACAGACATGTTTCCACATTCTCATCTGCAATTCTGTCTTTATTACACTCTAGTGAATGTTCGAGTCTCACCAAACCACTGAGACTTCCCATGTTAAGGTCATCGGTGGCCTCTGTGTTGCCAAGGTCAATGGTGTCTTCTCTCTTCTTATCTTACTTGACTCTTGGCATGCTCCACTCTCTTTTCTTGGCTTACAAGACCCCAAACTCTCTTGGATTTTGTCCCAGTGTCATTGGCTATATCTTTTAGTTACTATTGCTGGCTCCAGTTCTTTGTCTTTATTTTAAACTCTTGAGTGCTCTAGACTCCCTTTCAGAGCCTCTGTTATCTCTCTATCCACACTCTCTCTAGACTCTCTAGATAATCTCATCTAGGTCTGTATAGATGAGACTATGCCTGGGACAACCTAAACTATAAATCCATCACTGACCTCTTTGGGAAATCTAGATTCTTTTAATTTTCTTCCTGTTTTATGTCAGCACATGGATGTCTAATAGGGGTCTTAAAGTTTACATTGTCCAAATGAGAACTCTGGAGTTTTCCCTTTGCCAACAGGCTCACCAATCAACCCTGCTTATAAAACCAGAAATCTCTGCTGTGCTCTCAGTGCCTCACTTTTTAATGTTCCAAATTCTAGTCACCGTCTCAGGAACAGAATTTTCCCTCTTCGTCTCAGAAATTTTACTTTCTAGTACCACTACTACCATTTCTACATGGCCTGCTGAAGCACTCTTCCATTAGGCTGCCTCAGGATCCACTCACCACAGGAAGCTTTCCTTCTCCCTCCCCTCCCCTCAACTGCCCTCCCCTCCCTTTCTTTCTTTTTTTGTTTTTGCAGTTCTGGAGATCCAACTCAAGGCTTTGTACATACTAGTCAAGCACTCTACCACTGAGCAACATTCCCAGTTCTTGATTTTTTGAGAAAAACTCTCAAAATGTAGCCCAAACTGGCCTCAAACTCATGATCCTCTTGCATCTGCCTCCCAAGTGCTGGGATTATAGGTATGTACCATCATGCTCAGCATTTGTCTAATTTTTATTAGACCACATCACTCCCCTGTCTAAAACCCATTAGTGGCTTCCCATGCCCTTAGAATAAAATGAGAACTCAGCTTGGTCTGGCTCCTGCCTTCTTCTCCAACTTCATCTTGCATTACTGCCCCCTTGTGTGTTCCCACTATGCTTGCCTTATTTCTGCTCTGTGAATCTACCAAGTTGTTCTCTCATAAGTGCACAAAGTCTACTGGCACACTCTTCTTCAGCTCTCAGCATGACTGTGGCTGAAAACCACGACTGTCTCAGAGTCAATGCTACCTCTGGCAGGTCTTTTCTGACTGTAATCAAGCAACTAGCTTTCCCTATGAGGGTCCCTGTTTTAATGTTCAGCAGAGTATTAGTGGTATTTTCTTGTTTGTGTTTTAACTAGTCTCTTCCATCAGTATAATTAAGTTCTGTAAGAGCACTAATGTACTCTCACTCTGTGTCTTGGTCTGTTTTGTCAGCTATAACTGATAGCATAGACTGAGAGGATTATAGACAAAAATTATTTCTCAAGACCTGGAGTCTGGGAAGTCCAAGATCAAGGGGCCAGCTGATGGGGTGTCTGATGAAAGTACACTTTCTGGTTCATAAAAGGCACCTTCCCACTGTGTTCTCACAAGGCAGAAAGAAGAAGGGAGCTGGCAGAAGTCTCTTTTACATGGGCACTAAGTCCACTCATGTGAGTTCTATCCTCATGACCTGGTCACAGACCAAAGGTCCAACTTCCTAAAACAAAATATCACTTTGGGGTAAGGATTTCAACTTATGAATTTTGGGGATACACAGTCTATAGCATCTTAAGAAAAGTAACCCAGCACATAATAAGTGCTCAATAAATAGGTATATTTTTGAAATGCTTATAAATTCCATTATTTATTTTCATAAAAACCTACTTTTATTATTAAAGCTTTGTAGATACTTTAATATTAGTAAACACTACTCTCTTCTCATGAACATTGTTCTTTATCAATATTGCCTTTTCTAAGGTTGGGAAGTACATGTTTGACATGAATTTCATACAGAGTTTATTGTATTTCACATTAAGCTTTGTTGAAACTTTTATTGGTATTATTTTGAATTTATAGAGTAGTGTGAGGAAAAGTGACATGTGTACAGTACTAAGGCTTCACATTTAAAACAGTGTGCATATCTTCACTTATTTAAATACTGTATTTGTGCCTTTAGATTTAGATCTATAGTTTCATTTTTATCAGTTTTGGAGTCCTTTATAGAAAATGATGCATTTCCAAACTGTTGGGAGTATATTTTTTTTATCATAATAATTTCTAGTGTATAGGATAACTATTTTACTTAGACATTTTTGAGGTCTCTTATTTGATCTAACAATTTGTAGGTAGTTTCTTTGATTTTCCAAAGGAGATGATCTTAGTATTGTCACATTTTCTTAATATTTCCACTTTTAAAAATACCATATTGTATTAGCTGAGATCTCTAGAAAAATGCTCAATGACAATACTACTGTGGGGACCTCTGTTTTACCCTATGCTTTCATGGAACTACCATTAAGTAGGACGTTTGATCTAAGTTCCTGGTAGAAATCCTTTACCAAATTAAACAAGTTTCCTCTGTAGTGCTTCTGTAATTAAAAAAATAGCCTTTTAAATAATATTTTGAGAAACCAGCTTTATAATATGAGCTAAAATTGGTAATCGATTTTAGGGGAAATCATATAATGGTTTAATAACAACAATTTCTAATTACTGAGCTTCCTTTATGAGAGCAGAGTACTTAATATTTTTGATACGTTATTCCTAACTGACAAAGACTTCTACAAGGTGGAACATTTTTCACTATTTTAAAAATGAGGAAATCTTGGCTCAGAGACCCAAGTAATTTATCACAGATCACAAAATCTAATAAGTAATTAAGAAGGGATTTATACCCACTGTATCTAGCTCCAAGACCCACACTCCTCCCACCATGTTCCATTTTTAATTTAACATATTAAACCAAGTCTTTCAATGTGAAGAAAAGATAACAAATGTACACTGTGTTTATAGCTAATTGATAACCATACACAAAGAATTTCTATCTTGATATCAGTTTTGAAGGAGATTTCAAAGTAGGAAAACCATGGCGACTTGGTTTCATCACTAACACCTATGCCTTTTATAATCAATGGCTTACACTGAGGTGAAGAAAGCAAAGTCTTGGAACACCTATTTGAGCAGGTCAATTAACACAATGGATTACAGAAGAGAGATGGAAAAACATCTCAAGAGCTGAAAAGATGGTCCACAACAGGCATGAAAATCTCAAATGATTTCAAGTAATGATTGACCCTTAGATTAAAAAAAAAAAATCTTCAAATGCACTCAAATAGGATATGAGTAACCATAGTCCCTGTGAAAAAGGCCTAGTGGTTTAAGCTAACTTGGTATCATGTGGTTGCCAGGTCTACTCAACACAGTTTTGGGATGTGTGAATTTCATCATTATTAACCATACCAAAAGGTCAGTAGAACCACTCTCCATATCTGGAAATACATACTTAGTTCTAGTAGTTTTATTTTAATTGGTTGTAACCTAGTGATGAGAGCAGTCACAACTAGGTATTTTTTTCATTGCCCAGAAGGAAGAAAATCTCAGAGGCAATAAGAAAGCCAAGACTTCCCATTATGATTAGATAACTCTTTGGGAATAGGGAGTCTGCAAAACAATGTATTCTTTATGGGCTCAACCTCAATGGAATTGGAATATCCTCCAATAAAAAAGCCATTATCCTTTTTTTTTCTTTGTGCAATCTAAGAGCTGTGATCTTTACTTACCGCCACCCCTGTCTTGTAGAGGAGGTAATGTACCGTCTGTGTGACGTCAGCGGCATGCATTAAGTTATGGTAAGGGTTTTTATGCTTGTTGTATCCTACTTCCAAGGCCTCCACAAATGAGACGAGGGCAGAAATGGGGATCTGAAAGAGAACAGCAGGCTGAATTCACTAAAGACTAAGTGTCTTCAAGTGAAGCAGCACAAGTTTAAGATACTCTGCCTGCCCTTTGTCTAGAGGCAAAACACATCACATGAAGAAATTACAACTTTTCATGCTTAATAAAAATCACAGGAGAAACTGCAGATAATTTGAAAATCTAGTGTGATCCCTGACTGAAGACAGTTGGCCTTGCAAATTGTTCTTTAGTTCTGAGTTCTGAGGAATGATCTAGAATCATCTCAAAGACATTTAATTTTATTCACATGTAAACCAATAACTTTTGATGCACATGTAGAAAACTAAGCTATTGGTGACTATGTTAATTTTCTGTATTTCTTTGTCCTCATCTATCCTTAAATAGTATTCCTCCCCAATCCCAAGGAGGCAAAGATGCTACACAGGACACCAAACAATGCAGTAAGGTAATACCGAGAGACACAGAAATAATACTAGTAAGTAGCACAAGTTTGTGGAACTTTTTGTGATGTACCATCAAAGGAATAAGACCTTATAAACTTTGAGTCACAAATAATAGATTGCTAAATAAGAAGTGTAAGAACATACTATGTTACTACCACATATGACAGACTGTTTCACCGTGGCTTGGGTACTGAGTTTTGTTTTTTCCATATATCCAGTGCATATGATCACTTTATTATTTATTTATTTATATTGGTCAGTGCTGAGGATTGAACTCAAGGCCTTGTACATGTGAGGCAAATGTTTTGCTACTGTGCTACACTGTCAAACCTCAATAACTGCTTTTAAAGGACATGCCTTTCAGGAAGTCAGTGTTTCCATTGATAAAGGTGGCAGCTTGTGTCTATTTCACAGTAATTTTGTAACAAAATTTTTGTTTTCCCACAAACACATATGATATGATGCATTCATTTATTTCTCAAGTCATAAAAGACTTGACTCTTTGCTCAGATCTACTATTATCTTAGAATAATGTCTCCAACTGGCCTAAGTGCTTTTCTATCTCAAATATGTATCATACAAATGGCTTCCTTTTCCATGTGGCAGAAAGTGAAGCACAACTGCAAAATGCTATATACAAAACAGGAGGACCCTATAAACATTCATTGTCCTAACCTTCTAAATCAATGCCATGGTGTAAAATGAATTGTGTAGTCCAAGGCAGAAGGAAAAGAGAGGGTGTGGTCACTGGAGATTAACAATCACGAGTAAGAAAAACTAAGGGAAATGCAAATACACCATTCTTCCTTAGCACATTCTTTCATGGTTACCATTGTACATTTCTACATGTTTTTAAATGGCCTTAAAGAGTTCAGAGATGATTCATTATTACTTTTAAAAAGTGGTGATCCAGGAAACCCGGGGCCATTGAATTGCTCTTTGGAGGTCTACGAGCCCATAAAACACTAAGTGAAAGCATGTGTATGTGTACAGGGCTTTGTTCCAAGAAAAAGGTCTCCAGCATCCAGATTTTTGTATAGACTGCTGGTACACAACAAATGAAGGACCTACGAACCACTGCTGTAAAGTATTTATGGTCATGTAAGAAACATGTCTTCCAATACACAGTACTTAGGGAAGTGATAAAGCACTACACTGATGTTGCATAGAAAAAGAGCTGCGTTTTCCAGAGTCTCATCTACCTGATGCCAGAAATCCAAGGAGCTCAGTCAAGACAGAGATCAACAGGATGCATAGACAGGTTGTCTTGAAGACCTGGCCCAACCTTGGGAACCCTGTGTGACGGCTGGAGGGGTTGAGTGGACTAGACACAGGAGACAATTTATGCTCTTTATTTATTTAAAGTGAAGAATTAATCTGAAGCATGAGTGGCTGGGAAATGCCAATGGTCTGTCACTGATGATAAGTGAGAGCATTTGTCTGAATAAGCCACAGGGTGGGAAAAATGTTTACAGAGGCAGCTCATTCACTCTGTCTCTGTTACTGCTTCGGACAGCAGTACTAGACAGTACACACTCATGTACTGTCTAGTGATGACAGTACATCACAGTCATGAGATGGGGGCAGCAGATGTGGGGGAGATTGGCTCTTTCTGGTTTTGGGTGGTGCTTCTAGGAAGAACGAAATCTGAACAGGCTTCTCCAGTTTCTGCCTGCCAAGAAGATGCACCAGCCATTGTGGAATGAAGTTTTCTCCAGGAAGAATGCACAGAGCTGCCATCACTATGATGAACCCTGAGCTGCTCAGAACAGTTAAAAGGATTCTCTTGGTCTTAGACCAAAAGTCATATGAGGATGGACAAATGTATGCAGTTTATCTTTTTAATGAGGTACTGGCCTTAAAACGGCTGATCAGATCATAGCGTGTGAGGAGTTCATAGAAAATGAATTTCAGGGCATGATCACCACTGGCCTCGTTGAGGGAAAAGACGTCAAAGGACCACTTGTCCACATCCTGCAGAACAGGGCAGGGAGAAAGAATGTATTAGCTCACAGTCATTGACATGGTTGCCAATCTCCCCACCTTCAAGGTTGCCTGAAGTCCTTACCTGAGATTCCATAACCCAAGACTCTAATATACTTACACCTTCAATTTCTTTTCAATCCAGCAGATCTATTTAGCATTGCCAAAACATTAAATAATCTTATTACTTAGCAGCAACAGACATAATTTATTGAGTACATCACATGAGATAGGTGGTAAATATGTAATACATCCTGAAAACAACTGTAAGTGGTAGGAATTATTAGTCACATAGTAAGTGCTCAGGAAATAAGTGGGGTAAGAACACAAACACATGCTTCCCAACAATGCCTAACCTCAAGGGACTACTTCTAAAAAGCCAATCAGCTGCTGGTGTTGAGTTCATGACCACCTAAGGTACATCCCTTCTCTAAATTTCTCTCCAGCCCCAAAACACTTTCCAATGACTTTCTTCTTAGTCCACAGTTGAGAATGTTAACTCATTGAAAAGTGTTCAGAAACATGATGCTATAGAATACAAAATAATATGTCATGTCCATCTAAAATGCTGAAGCCAAGGAGAAACTATTTGTTTTACAGGACAGAAAAAATGCTGCCATTTCTGGAGTCACTAATCTGGAGAATTAGCTCTCAAATCTGTGCACCACTTTACCAGAGAGAGAAAAAATAAAATAAACACACCATGCCTTATATACCATGAACAAGTTCTTATTTGTCCACAAACAGCTACTCCAAAATACATGTAAACATTATCTAAAGTGCCTTTGTTGTAGAATAACCATTAGTTTTGGACATAGCAAACAAAGGTATGTTAAAACAACAGTCATTTGGTTTTGCATGGTGTCAAGACTCTTATTTCTGTAGTTAGACAAGTACTAACTTGAGCTTGATAATAAGTTCCATGAGAGACCACAAAGACTACAGGCAATGGGTCAGGGTAGCATCCTGGCAGAGACCTTGGCATCCAGGAACTGCTGACATGACTTTTACTCTATACCCCAACTTGACCCACCCATCCCAGTCCTGTCGTTGTGTAACTCTTCCAGCCTTCAGATCCATCCCAATGCCAACAAGGGCCTCTCTTATAGAAGCCAGGGAAAGCAGTCATAGATAAGAAAAAGTTTCCAAAATGATCTCAATTGAATTGTTTCATTTCACATTTAATGGTAATCTCACTTCAATCTTCAAGAATTACCCTTTCATGAAAATAACTAAAGAGATAGCTATAAGTATTGAGTACATTTCTTGGGCTGTACACTGTGCAAAGTCTTTTTTTCTTTCTTTTATTCGCACACATTAAATTGTACATAGTAAGGAATTTCATCATAACACTTCCATATGTGCATTGAATGTACATTGATCATACCCTCTGTTACTTTTTCTTACTGTGCAAAGTCTTTATATACATTTGCAAAACCTCACAATCCTAGAAAAAGGTGTTATTTCACCCAGTCTGCTAGCAGCTTCAAAGATGATATGAAATGACAAATGCCATGCAGTAAACCAGATAATAATTCTACAGGCAGCCACTAATGACCTCATTGCTGACAGATCACACTGTACACTCAATGAATTTGTGCTGTGACCCAAGCCTCACTCCTAAATACCCAGCAAGGGCCCAGGCTATAGACAGCAAGGTCAGCTCAGGTTTACTCGGGGTTACTGTACTAGCATGGCCATGAGTCACAGCCATTGTCTAATCCTGAAGAAAAGGTCACTGACCACTCAGGAGGTTGGAAAATGCTTGGTTATGACTGAAAATTATTAATCTTAGTTTCTAGGATGAATAAAAAAACTATCATGGGAAATAAAGAGATTTACCACAGTCAAGAGCCAAGATTTATTCTGGCTACCAGTCCTTAGAGAAATGGGACGGTGAGTAAACACATCATGGAGGAGATTCTCTTTGGCCCCTCACTTCAGAGAAGTCTTAACAGTAATTCTCAAATTTTAATGTCATTCTAAACTACTTGTGGGCTCACCAGAAATAATGATGGGGCGGGGGACAGAACTCTGAAGAATCCTGGGCCTTGAGTCTGCATTTTAACACCCAGTTTAATTGCCTTAAGTCATTCTTCATTTACCAAAATTTTCCCAGGGACAATTCCCATGGAGAAACTATGTGAACTTCCATTTACTGCAGCCTCAAGGAAACCTGAAATTTTGCTCACTTCCTCTCACTTTAAACCTGGAGTTTATCCAAGGTGTCACTTCCCAAGTCACAGGATGGCTACTTTTCTAAAACAGACGGCACCCTACCCCAGAAGACTGTAGATAAAATAACTCAAATTAGTAGCTAATAACTACTAAATGGAAAAAGGAAAAAAGATTCAACCTATTTCAAATTTAAAGCTGGGAGATGGTTAATTATTCTTACTCACATGTCATGTTATGCCATGTCCTGCTGTGAACCACAAAAGTTAACCTAACAGTAGCACAGTGGTTATTTTATTGAATCGTATTCTTTCAATATTGGGGGAAATTTTCTACAACAGAAATAAATACTAGTGATTTCATATAAACTCCTGTCAGTGAGATGCAAATAACCTTTTCCCTAAAAAAAGGAAAAGAGGATCTATTTCTGTGGTCTTGCCAAGTCACCCCCAATCCATTGAAAATCAAAAAGGAGTCTGGGAAAGTGGGAAAAAAGTATGTTATAAAAAGATTCTGAACTTCTGGTGCATGCTTGTAAACCCAGGCACTTAGTAGGCACAGGTAGGAAGATCATGGTCAAGAGGCCAACCTCAGCCAAAAGTCAGGGAGACCCTAACTCCAAAAAAAAAAAAATAGTTGGTATGGTGGTGTACATCTGTAATAACAGCTACTTATGAGGCAGAGATAGGAGAATCATGGTCCAGGGTCAGCCCTACAAAAGCACAATACCCTATCTGAAAAATAAACTAAAGCAAAAAGTGCCAGGGTTATAGCTAAAGTGCTAGAGTGCCTGCATAGCAACCTTGGCCCTGAGTTCAAACCCAAGTATTGCAAAAACAAAAAAAAATGTGGTTTGAATTTTCCAAGTCAACAAAGGACAAGATCAAGGGAAACAGCTCTAGTCTAATGTACATATCACCAATATATGTGGAGAAGGGTAGCAATTTAGAGTTAGTGCTTGCTTCTGGTGTGAAAGGTACTTAGGTACCTTTCCTCAGAAAGACAACATGTGTGCATCTGAAATTTCTTTTTGCTAAGTAAAAAAAAAAATAACAATTTGTGCACATCACAGGTTGTTCCACACTTTTAAGTTATTCTGCATAGAAAAAAGGCTACAATTTGGAAGAAACATTCTCATAAATGTCTGAGTATCATATGCCCACTTATGTTTGTGTTTATGATAAAGGAAGAAATTAAAGATTAAAATGTGCTTTTAATGTTCCTAAGACTTTCACTGAACATTTCAGGTTCAATTATGAAAATCAATGCAATTTCATAGTGTGTGTTATGAAACATCAGATCTCAAGAAATGATTCTGTTGATTAAGTGGAAAATATCACTATAAATTGCACTGATGTATTGGGCATTAGAGTGGGAGCTGGGGAGGTATGAGAGAAAACATATGGATTCTTGCTGCATCCTTCCTTCTCTTAAGATGAGAGAAGAAACAAAGAGACAAAATATAAACACAAAAAAAAGGAGAAACGATAATTGTGTTTGTGTGTGTGTGTGCGTGTGTGTGTATAGTTTCATGAATTTAGCTAGTGAATGTCCCTGAGACAAGAAGAACTATAAATAGGTAATCAAGATGTCCCTAAGGACTCTTCCCTGACATGAAACTAAGAACCACTCCCACCCCCAATTTCATAAATAGGTAATTATCTTTTGAAAAACATTGTCCAATCCTATTTTTTTTCAGTTTTTACAGAAAGAACAACAGCTTTAGCAGAAGACACAATCCAAGACGTCCCTGAGCAAGTAGACCAATTCCATGTGTAGACAACATGCAATGTCAACCAGCCCAGTGAGCCTGGATCCTAGATCCAGAGCCAGATCAGGCTTGGCACATCTGGAACACCTTCAGACCAGTAGATGTGAATCAGCAGTTGCCTGAAGGAATACTTCTGTTTGGAGGCTTTTAGAGATATTCTGCATAATTTTAAGAGTTTGTTTCATTAGAAGTAATTCTGAAGGATTTACCACAATTTAAATTCAAACATTTTTTTGACTTCTCATGTACCACTTGGCTCAGTGCAAGTCCTGGGAAGAAAACAGGATAAATGGAGTAGACAAGGGTTTGGGGGCACCTGTTCAGGAAGTAAAGTGTTACCAAGAGCTTACCATGTATTGGAAAACTGTTCTCAAAATTTAGTTCTGTGTCTAATTAACTCTGTTTTTTCTTCCCTTAAACCTTACTTTCTTGATTTCTATAATGGACTTAGAATGTGTGTAATCAGGCAATGATACAATTACAATCACCAAAAGAACCTCCTAATATTTAATATTTTTACCATAGCACATTTGATCTCCTATGGCCAAAGTTAGATGAATCTCATAATGCCAGATCACTGTATATGCTAGGTGAAGAGAGAAAAGCAAAACCTACATGGAGTGAGATTTTTTTAAAAATTAAGAAAATGAAGACTGAAAATACAAAATATCATTAAAACAGGTACAAAAATGGCAATGAAAAATTGAAGTCAGGAATAACTGAGAAAAGAACTGCAAGTGAAAGCCTTCTATTTTCTAAGAGGAAATTTAACTGTACTTTTTAATGAGGTACTATGTCCATTGTAAACCTTTTCATTGGTTTTACCTTTAATGCTTCAATAACAGCAGGCGGGTAGCTCAGTCCAACCATATTTGATGTCCGTCTATACATTCTGGCAAAGTCAGAGAGGAAAAATGCAATGTGATTCCATATACATATATATATACACACACATATATACATACATATGTACGTGTATGTATGTGTATATATATATACACATACATGTTATATATATATATATATATATATACATATATATATACATAAAGATTTTCAGCTCATGGACTTATACAATTTGCTAATAAATAATGAGAGAAGTCAGGTCATCCAGTGACTTGAACTTAAAATCACTTGAAGGTCTTAAATGGCCTATTGTTAAATTCAAAAGAAATTAAAGCAATCTCAAACACATGAACTACTAGAAATGGAAAAATAAATTAAGTCTATGCGCCCCAGGTTGGAAAGAAATTATTAAAAGAGGTCACCTGTTCTGTCAGAAAAAATGATTGCACTGAAGAGACAGTATGCACTATAGTACAGTGTAGTACTTGAACCTGAATGAAGAACTACTGTGGGCAGCCCATTTGGAAAAGCTTATTCTGTATACTATAAAAATAAGCTGAAAAAAATGTTCCAGGTGAACCCTGAACTCTCCATGGTGTTTCTAAAACATGTAATTGTGCAATAGGTATTATAGGAACAAAAAAATCTATTTCTGTGGGAGAGGACAATTTGGTCTCAAAGGCTATGAAAATTGGAGTATCATAGGGAACTCACACCCTTTAATGAGCTGTCCCCCTGGGTCAGAAACTTCAAAGCACCCCTGACCTGTTTCTGGTCTCAAAGTAGAAGCCATCTATTTATTTCAAAGGATAATGGTTAGATGACTTCCTTCTTTCCAAACTGAACTCAAATTAAATCATCTCTGGCTAACAAAAAGAATTTTGAGCAAAAGAATAAACTTATCCTAATGATGTCACAGAGATTATAATAGATATGTTTTTGTCATTTCTCACTCAAAGTCTATCTGTTTCTACCCAGAAATTTCTGTATTTATAACAAGTGGCTCAAATGGTAGAGCACCTGTCTGGTATAAGGCCCTGAATTCAAACCCCAGTACTAGGAAAAACAAAACAAAACAAAACCTACTGGAATCAAAGCTTCCAGTTATTGGAAGCTGGTGTTCCTTTTGCTGCTTTGGTCATTGAATGATAATGGCGTCTTTACCTCTCCACAAATATTCCAGCCTGCACTGCATGCACAATGCTCTTGAACCTGGGCTTCTCCTCACTCCTTCTGAGCATCATCCCCATCTGTCGCGTGAAGGTGGAAGCCAGCCAGTCTCGGACCTCAGAAGGCACAGAATCTGACTGAATGTCACTGAGCTCATCCTCTGTATCCAGAAGTCGCCTGTATGCAAGAAACATAACCATGACATTGCAACTGAATCTGAAGTTAGAGTTCTGTTTAAAATATCAGTTCCTCTCCATCCAATATGCAATATAAGTACAAAGAAACTAATTAAAAAGTAGAGTATGATTTTGTTAAGGCTTGGGAAAGCTCACATTGATGTTACAGCATGGCTCTCTTGACGAGATTGAATGATATAGTTTAACTGTTGAATGGCTTGGTCCCCAGCCAGTGACACAACTGGGAAAGAGTGGAACTTTGAGAGCCTAGTGGGAGGTCATCAGACCATTAGGGGCATGCCCTTGAATGAGATAGTGGGGATCAGCCTCTGTTCTTCCTCTCTTTCACTTCTCAGCTATAAGGTGAACAGCTTTGATCCACTACCCACTCCCACCATGATATGCTGCCTTGACACAGGTCCAAAATCAATGAGGCCAATTGATCATGGACTGAAACTTCCAATGACTGAATGTAAAATTTTTCTCTTTATAAGTGGATTATCTCTAATATTTGGTATAGTGAAGAAAAACTGACATTCTGAACAAAAGGAAAAGAGGAGTTAAACCCACTCCACCTCAGGCTCCCCAGGTGACAGATCCATGGCACTCAAGACACACAGTATCCTTATCCTTGAAGGTCTGTGGAACTTGAGTGAAATTTGAGTGAAATTTAAATCATCTTTTAAAAATGCATTTACAAGGAGGCTTAAATAACTTCATGGATGGACCATGTATCATTATTTTGGTCAAAAAATGAATACTTAAAGACTTGACAAAGCATTACCCAAATCACAGCAACCCAATCCTCTACAGTAATGATATTAAATGATGATAGCCTTTCTAATTCAGAAGGATGCAGCAGAAATTTAAATGTCTAAATTCAAGCAACATTTCTTTTAAAAATGCAGTTTAAATTTGAGCACAATAAGTTTAGCCATCTATTGGTCATGTTTTGCTGATTTGTCAAACTTGTTCATAGGTAAGACCCTTAGGAAGGAACATAAATTTTTGTGTTATAATAAAACCTAAAATTGTATTTTATATTATATTTACCTCTACTGAAAATAAACATTGTAAAAGTAGGAATCAATGCAAAAGTACTTTTTCCTTTAGTTACATAAATTGGGTGAAGAGGAGAAAATACACAATTTGCAAAAGACTGTGACATCAACTTTCCTTAAATTAGTAACAAAGGATATCACTACCAAAATAAACCACGCAATCCTTAGATTACAGGGAAATACTTTCAGATTGGAATTTGCCAAAGAAAAGTAAGACATCATAAATATTGATAGAGAAGCCTATCTGAATTAAGGGAAAAAAGCCTTTTATAGTCAACATTTCAACACTTTTTTCAAGACAAAATCAATTTTGTTCCTTTCAAACGCATGTTTAATTGTTTAAATACTTTTGGATAGTTCAAGTGGAAATGTCTGGTAAGAAAAAAATCAGTAACACAGGCAAGACTGAAGAAGGAGTACAAGACACTTAGGACAGCAAGAGTTTCTTAATCATTTCAGGAGCCTCCAGGTACTAAGGGGTATTGCCAATCAAAATCAGCACAATTTGTAGACTGATATTAATAACATGCAATAACTATAGTGGAACTCTACATTTGATCAAAATCTTAGCAGATGTTTTAGAATCGTGTTTTCTCCTGTTAACTCACTCACTTCATAGTCCAAATGATCCTGTGAGATAAGTTCTATCAGGACCTTTTACAAATGAGAAGGTACAGAGGGGAACAGACTTGCCCACATTTGCTCCCATTTGTTTGTGAAAACTAATGCTCCAAGTCAGGAATTTAACAATATTCCATAACTGCCATGGGGGGCTGTTTTTTAAAAAGCTACTTAACAGAAAATTTAGCATCACTTCACTAATCTCTGTCTTCAGCTTACCTGGTTTCATCAATGTATACAGATTCCAGCACTGTGGCTGCATATTCCAAATTCTTCTTAAGGTCTACCACGGAAGCTTCCCCTCTCTCTAACTGTTTAACCAAAGATCGTAACCTGTGAGAAAAAAATGGTATGATTTCATTAGAATAGAGGAATCAAAGAATAATTCTACAGTTACTACATTTTTGCAGTCATTGAATGGTCTTATTTATTCCATCTGAAAGGAGAACAACTATGGGTCAAAGAAGCAAGTTATAAAATAAATTCATACATTTTTTTGCCATTGTAAAACAAGAGCAAAAATGTTCTCATCAACTTTGTCTGACCACTTCCTATACTTTCTAACTACCTTTCATTTTTAAGAATGCCCAAATCATCAATGATTTTACTTTCTCTTGGTTTTTTATTGGGTTGGTTCTAGTTGGATGTAGTAAAGTGCAGTTCACAGCAATAGCACCAAACACCTCTTGAGATTCTCTCTGTTGAAAGCACTTTGGCTAGCACTGGCTATAAAGGACAGCAACCCCATGACCTGTACAGGTTTTAAGGTCTGTCTTAAGGTATAGACCTCCACCATAGCCATAGAAGGCTGCATTTTACTGGACAGGAAGAATCCCTCTAAGAGCAGATAAACACTCTTATTAAAAAAGAAAGAATTGCAGAGAGTCCAAGGGAAATAATAAAATATGCTTTTCTCATATTCATGTGAACATTATTTGCACAGAGAAGAACTTATTATATATGAAAGCAATAAAATGCCTGAAGATGATCAAAGTGCAGTAACTGGGATTATATAAATACCACAGATCTGGATAATCACAGGCAACCAAATAAGGAAAATTCTAGTACAATAATTGATTACTGTCAAGTGTCCATTTCCAATTGGTTTATGCAATTTTTCCTCACCTTCCTGACTTCAAATATCCTCAAACTTGCATAGAGAATAGATTGGTTTCTTGGCAAGGTATAAACTACTCCCCTCCTGATCTTTATGAAAATGACCACAAAAAAGAAACCCTGAAAATTTTGGACTAATCTTAAAAATAGGCAAAAGGGCAGACTACACAGAAGAAATTTCCAGAAATCTTCATGGTATAAAACGGATGAGATATGTCTTAATAATCTCCAACATGCAAAAGGGAAATAAGCAGAAGATGTCAGCAGAAGCCTCTGCAAGCTCATAGGTGAAGGTAAGTCTTGTGAGTCCCCTTAGCAATAGTAAGAAGTATTCTAGGTTTTAGAGGCAATGCTGGACAGAATGTTGGCATGGAAGTGCTTGCCAGTCACACACAGTAGACAGCCTGTCTGCCAAAGGCTGGGGAGACTGCAGCACAAGCCCTGATTGCTGTTCCAAATAAGGATTGAAAATCCTTTAGCAAAATACATTCCTGGCTAAATCTGTCTCCAAATCTGAGTCTCATCTCAAGGGGCCCAGCTAACAAACCCTAGGATGTTTGAACTCTCAACTGGCAAAATCAAGTCATAATAATTTAAGCATTTAAAAAATGTCTGCCTTCAACTGGATTCTATCAGGAATTTAGCACGAATTTCTGATGAGGACCCATCTTAATCCTTAACCTCGAAAAGGAAAGGACAAAATTTAAAAGAAGAAATGATGGAAATTATGACCAACAGAAGGAAGAATGAGAAGGTCCTATATTTGGATAATAGGACTTCCATAGAAATAAACAAACACACACAGCTTTAATCAAAATAAGTTTTTGTAGGTTAAAGTAAAACCTGGATAAGCATGTAAAAAGGGATCAAATAGGACCAGAAAAAAAAAGAAAAGAAAATATCCAGCATGTGCTATTACAATTTTTGATTCCAAAGAATAAAGGAAAGAACTTGAAATGCTTTGAGAAAATAAAACATATTGCTTCAAAGTAACAGAAATTCAAGCTAGCCATAGACTTCTACCATGTCAAACCCCAGAAAGTAATTTAACAGATAGTTTTTGAAAATAATCTGGCTGTACTAAAGTATCTATATCTAAATCTAGTAGAGTTGACTTGTGAAGCCAACGAAGATATTCTCAGGTGTCAACAAGTTCAAAATGTTATCATTCATATACTTTCCAGATAACAGAAACCAAAACAAACTTTATTTGTCCACTCCAGGACAGCAGTCTTCCAACACTGTGCATCCATGCCTCTCTAGCTAAATGGACTGTGAGTTCATAGACTGTATTTAACTTCCAATCTTTTCAAAATAGACAACCGGTTTCAAAAGGTTCCTGCACAAAGTGCTGGTAAACCATACTGTTAATAATACAAGGACAACTAAACATGAAAATGAGCTGACATTTCAATTTCTAGCATAAATGCCACCTGTGCAATTTTTTGAACTAAAAACTAATAGTCAAAAAAACAACTGAAATTATTAAGAGCACTATGTAGACTATGGATTCATATCCACTGTTTTTAACAATTTTCACTCCTGGGAAAGAGATTGTCAAGGGAATCATGCTATGAAGAGCCTTATGTTATCTTGCCACCAAGGAGCTAGACCCCAGCCCAGAGCAAGGTGGTGCTTCCAGACAAAACACCTCTTGGAGTCCTAGCCAGCAGTGCATACGAACAGCACTGGGAAAGGCTTTGTGCCACAATTAGCAGGAATCAGCAGTGCAGGGTTTCTTCATGTGTCTTCACCAGCAGTGCCATTGGGAAGTCACATTTACATATCCAGAGTAAAGGTGTGATCCCCCAGAAAGTGTTAACAAAACGAGAATTCCTAGTCAAGTGGCTTCAACAAACCCAGAGAAGAAATGATAGAGAAATAAAGTACCTTTAGTATGCATCAGAGGTACCCAAAATTTATAACTACCCCACCTTTTTAGCTTCTGAGATGAGCAGAGAGTAAAGGGAATGGAGGACCTCACTTTGGAAAAATCACCAACTGACATTCACCTCTAATTCAAGGACAACTAAACAGAAAAAAATAGCTATGGGAGATTCCAGCAATAAAGACAGTTGAGAACACAGAATTCAAAATGCAGAGAAAGTACTCACTTTTAAAACAAAGAAAATTCACCAATGGGAACAGAAGTAAATTTCAGTGAGCATCTGCTGTGGGTTCAATAAAATTCAAGAAGCTGGAATCGATGTAATAAAAAGTGAACATATTGAGAAAGAAGGAGAAGTCAAAGGAAATAAAACATGACAACAGAACAACAATAAGAAAATTTTTTAAAAAAGAAGTAAATGCCAGCCAACTTTCTAACTGTTCTACTTGTGTAGGACCCAGCACCCATGTTGGACATAAACTATAGCCGCCAACTGCCTGCTTTATAGAACTGTCACTCAAACCCCAGGAACTCCGAATGGCCCTTCTTTACAGTGTTGTGGTTTGGTGTGGTGCGCAGGTCATTGCTATCCTATTGACCTCTCTAGTCCACCCTCCACTCTAGCTCTTTATCCTCTCCACTTGGAACTCCCTGCCCTGCTCTGCCCTCCCTCACCTACCTCTTGGTCAAACTGCTATTTCTTGGGCAGAAAAGATTGAATCTAGCCTTTTTCTTCACTAAATAAATAGTCACTAGTCTCAAAGATTCCTAAAGTTTCTAGAAACAAGGGCACTTCCCTGTTTTTTTTTTTTTTACCATAATCTAGGTTTTTCCATAGATCTGAATCACTTTTAAAGACTGTCTAAAAATGAGCTGGGATCTTTCATACACATAAAGTGTTTAGTTTAGCTTAGAGAACACTAACTGGCTCTGGAAGGCTAAGCTGCCTTCCTTTCTTTTCCTAGTAAAGCGTATCTGGATGTTTTTCTGTGTGGATTCATCTTGCCTAAAAGGCCAGGCCCCATTGTTAAGTGGTTGTCTTATTTTGAGAAAGATGGATATCTATCTTGTTAATACTACTCAAAGGAGGTTTTGGTGTTGGCACCTAATGAGAATTTATGTTGGGAGCATTCAAAATAAATTCATAAAGATAAAGGAGGGAGAAAAACAAGGAAGGAAGGAAGGAACAAAGGAAGGAGGGAAGGAAGGAAGAAAAGAAGAAAGGGAGAGATGGAGGGAAGGAAGGAAGGAAGGAAGGAAGATATATGAAAACAAAAATAAAAATAAGGTTTGACTTCTGAGCGAATGTTCATAGTTCCCAGCACTCCATCCATTCTTGTCACTGTGGCTGCCAGGTAACAGCTCCAGTACAAATGTGCAACACCATTTTAGGAAGAGCTTATGCTTTCAAGCCCTGGCAAGATGCCTTTGTTAAGCAGTGTAAATGAGTCTTCCATTTCTCCATGCAAACCTTTTGTTTTCTGTGGGATTCTTTGGTACAAGGCATGTGATAAAATGCAGCAGGACTTCAGCTCTTTGCACCCTCATGTCCACAGCAAGTCCTGAATGCCAAGCTCCCCTTAAACTCATGCCAGTATGTGGGATGCACAAACCTGATAGAGAAAGGAAACTAAGTAAGGAAAGACCTAGGTGCTGCATTGTGGGATTCAAAAGGCAGTTGGAAGGAAGACAGAAAGGTTTGGTTGTTTGTTTCCCTACAAAGTTCATTTCTAGCACCAGTGAAGTGGACTTCATCAGCAACCAACTTACTAACTCAACGTTATAGCAGAAATCTGCCCAAGACAGTAGTAGGCATCATTCTCTACCCAGGGGAGGTCCCTGAAACTATAGAGCCATCGTTTCAATAGCAAGCGTATTTGTTGAACTTCAGCCTTGCTAGAATAAAATCATTAGCAAAGCAGAAGCAAAAGTAAGCTATTCATAGCTGAATAGAAAACTACAGAAACACGCTTGCTGATATGTGTTTGTCTTTCCGAAGGTTATTCCTTCTGGGGATGGGAAAGTTGCTTCTAAAATACCCATGTGGTACATAATGGCTGTTGTCTTAAACAGCTATGTTTCATTAAAGACTGAGAAATGGAATTGGCTCCTTTACAGCACTTTCCCTACATGTCCCAATGAATCAAGAGCCCTAAAATCTCATTTGCATAAAAAATTCTCTGTTCTCTGTTTCAGTACATCACATCAGTGTATTTGTAAGGCACAGGTGTCTTTGTGCTTTTCATACTTCACATCCTCCTCATCCCCTGTCACTTACCAACAACTCCTCTGAATGGGGTATACTGGCACAAATAGCCAGTATCAAAAA